TACAACAACTTTATTTAACCAGCAATCAGGTGGACTAGATCAGATAAATTTTTCCGTTCAGAAATAACACAGTTTGAGATATTCCCATCTCCACTACTCGTTTCTAGACAGTGGTGTAGTATCCCTTCACTGCTGTTGGCACAACTATTTGTGGTATCACATTTTAAACAGAATTAGGGAAACGATCCTGCTTCAAAATAACACAGCAGAAAAGAAGGGTGTTTTCAGCCCTTGATCCAGTTTACTATATGGTCCCACAGACTTGTGCCAGCAAAACTGAGAGGGAGGTGTCAATGATAGTGACAAAGTAGGGCAGTGGGTGCTTTGGTTCTTGTCCCATAGGGCATGGCCTTCTAGAATGAACCGAGCTTTTTAGAAACTTATTTTAACATTTGGACAGCACTCAAGTTTCAGTGGGAGCAACCACTGAGCTTTTTTAAGCACCTGGAAGCAGCACACCAATGATGCAACACATTTTCCTGACAGACAGCCATAGACAAGACTAAATATTAGTTTGTTCTGTTGGGAGCTCATCCAAAAAGCAAGCAGCAAATTCCCTTTCAACTCATGGTCATTATGGCAGATATTTTATTCTATGTCTTCACTTGTTTGAATGGCATCCCTTTTCTTCCATTTAAGAGTTTCTATAATAGGTCCACTGTCTATCTAATCCATGAAACTTGTGTCAGAAGGTTTGGAGAAAAAAATAACACTCTAGTGTGTTTTGCAGTAGATACTCTCCCAGAGTTTTAAGACCGCACAGCTGTCCTTTCTCTGCCTCCAACTCCCATATTATCAGTGGTCTTCAGTATGCAGAATAGCACAGTCCATTATTGTAGCATGTGAAATGAGGATAGGGAAAGGGATCTACTCCATTTAACTCAGAACTTTATATCAGTTCCTGCTAATCTTTTCACTGGAAATTCATGACACAGGAAAGCTTTACAAAGGTGAAAGGATTTCACACAAGGGAAGCTTATCTTATCTCCACTGCTCTCCCAAACTTTGTACTAGATTCCAGGAAGTTTTGATTTTTTATTTATTTTTACATTACTGGAATAGATTCAAGAGACTCATATTCAGAACACTGAAAGAGGTGAAGGTCTTATAATTTATCTGGGAAAAGCTGGAACGTCCTAACGTTTCACCGTACTCGCTTATCACTTTCATGAGGCCATGGCCGTATTTAGCAAACATGGGACCGAGTATGAAAACATCATAGAGCAAGGAGTAGAGAAAGATACTTGCAAGGTTCAGGACAAGGAAATTATGGAAAATAAACTATGTAATGTTATGTTACAGGGTGCTGTAAAATTATTTTCTGTGCTTCTGATGGCTTGAAGATGGACGTCTTTTAAGGGGTATTACAACTATGAATTCATAACACTAAAGTTGATAACACATAATATGGTGTAATAAGTCTACAAAAAGAAAAAGCTTCTGAGACCTGTACTCAAAGTTGCAAGCAAAAAACTAGAACTAGCTCAGCTGACTTTATTATAAAATAAATGGTGTTTCACGATTGACCAATCATTTTAAAGTTACTCTATCAATTACAAATCGATATTCAAAAGTGTAGCTCAAAAGCACCATATATTCTAGTTCTAAAATTGGAAATAAGAAATAAATCTTCAATATCCTCCATTCTACCTAAGTACCTTATTTTTTTCCTCTTCCATCTTCCTTTCTCCACTATAGAGTCCTATGCAGAGGCACAGATAGCACAGCAGAAATGGTTTAAAGATAATTTTGTATGTCAGAGAGCTGTATCAATGCTTTCTATTCGTTCCTACACTGTATTCTGTGCTCCCTAATCTTCAGCGGGAGTCAAGGCAAAGACCTGTAGACCCAAAACTGAACAATGGATCCAAGACATTTTCAAATGTTCTATATTAAAACTAAAAGTTTAATGTATTTAACTTCACATTTATAATAACACACACCTCTAAATCTCTTTATTCATTTTTAAAGAAATATTTTTTAAAGTAGACATACATCCCATAGTATTTATGACAGAATGAACAGAAATGTACATAAGAAACCACCGTGAATCCAAAAAATAGTTGGTAGTTTCCATTTCTTGAAGAAATAGACCATAAATGACAAAGTGGGTTCAGATAGCTTTTTACTGTATAAAATATTACTACTGAAAAGGAGGAAACTAAAAATAAGATATTGAAAGCTGAATATGCTGAGGATTTATGACACCAATAATCTAACGGTCAGCTTGTTATAAGCACTTACTGTAAAATTATTTTTTATTGTTATAATTTCCAATTATTTCTAAATCTGGGACGTGCAAAGTGACGTGCCAGAGGTTACAAACAAATCAGTGCCTGAGCTAAGAGGAGAACACAGTATTAAATTCTGCGTCCCTCTTTAATCAGTAGATATCATAACCATATTTAAGAACCAGGCCTGTACAAATACATCTCCCAATAAATAATTTTAATTGGCTGACTTTTTAGAATGCACCATAATTTAACATATAAAAGTAGTGTTCTTCAGTTCCATTTAAAAAAAAAGAAAAGCCCTTTGTTAGGAAGGGCATGTTGATATTGACTTCTCTTCATTCTGTATCTCATTCTACTATTTGCATCTAGCAAAATTAAATCCTCAGAATAAAGAAAAACTTTGACATGGGTCTTTCTTCTTTAAAATACATATCCCGGTTGCATTTCTTGTATTTGCCATATTTAATCCTCTTTCCCACAACTGCCTCTTGAAGCAACCAGACAACTGTTAGACAAGGAAGAACACTTCTTGAAAGCCATTGGCAGTGATCTCTCATTTTTTATTTTCCTTTCTTTATAGTTAATTTGTAATATTATTTAAACCACTGTGCTAGTGAAAATGCTGACTTGTTAATGGGACTAAGATCATCCTAGTAATGGCACTTATAATAAGAGAGATCCATCTGGTGCCTTGGCTGTGTGACAGTCCTGAACTCTAAAGATCTGAGTTCAATTTTTCTGCTCCACAGTAAACATCCTGTATGCCTTTTAGCAAAATATCATGACTCCTTAATCCATGCAGACTATGGTGAAGTATAGGTAACACTTCCTTGCTCTCCTATAGACACACATCAAGTGACTTGGTCACTAGAAGTACGCTTCCTTTCTCTGAAACCCTTCTTTCTTTTTACTTTGTTCTGTTCTACAGCCATGCTCCCTATCAGCAGCCTTCTCCCACAGCTTGGAATGGTCACCATTTATTGGATTCTCAGGAGAAACTAGTAGCATACATAGAAAGACTTAAGAAGGACTGGAAGAAAGCAAGCATGACTAAAAAGTAGGATAAAGTCAACTTTTAAACAAGAAAACACCCTTCAGAAAATTCAAGTGCTGGCATGTTAAGTGAAAAAAGCACAGTAAGGCAAGCCAACAAGAAAAAAACAAAACAAAACAAAACAAAACAAACAAACAAAAAAAACCAAAACACCAACCAAACCAAAACCACAAAATCATGGGAAGAAACTTGCAAAAGACGTAAAAAACTATTAATAAGCCATCAGCAACTTCTGTTCACCCCGAAGTTCTAAGGGAACTCAAGATGAAATAGGGAAGCACTAATTGTGGTGCACTCCTTCTTGCCTAAAATTGCTTTGGTACTAGAAGATGGCCAACATGATGCCAATTTGTTTTTCAGAAGTTCTAGAGAAACCCAAGGAAGAACCAACCGATGAGCCACAGAACCTTCTGGGCAAGTTAGTGAAAGTTATTCTACATAATGAAATTAATGGACATATGGATAGATATGAATAGGGAAGAGTCAACATGATTTGTTTCTTGGGATTTTTTTAAAGAAAAATTGTGCCTCAAAAATTTATTTAATTCTCTGAAGAAGCAGTTAAGAATGTGGACAAGGAACATTCCTTTGATATGGTCTACTTGTATTTCTAAAAGGCATTCAGCATTGTTCCTCACCCAAAGACTCTTAAATAAATTAAACAACATGGGAACATCCTTGGATGGATAACGAACTGTTTAGAAGACCAGAAACAGAGCCTAAGAATAAAAAGCCAGTGGACTCCCATAGGGTTCTGTGCTAGGACCTGAGGTCTTCAGTGTATTCATAAATGAATTAAAGGGGAGAGAGTACTGAGGTGGCAAAGAATGGTGATGACACTAAACTATTCAAGGCAATAAAGAAGAGAGACAGACTCAGAAAAGCCTCATGATAATGAGTGACTTGCCAAAGAAATGGCAGACGAAATTCAGCTTAGATAAATGCATATGGGAGAAAACAACCTGAACTTTACATATAAACTGTTGTTCTGGGCTGACTATTATCAAGCAGGATGAAAATCTTCAGGTTTTAATAAATAGTATGATGAAAACATATTTTCAATACTTTGTGACAGTCAAAAAAAAGACTGTAAAATATTAGGAATCATGGGGACATTATTATTCCACTGTATAACTTCCTGACACGTTGGTATCATGAAAATTGCAAGGGGGTCTGATCCCTAAAGGAATAAGTTAAAATTGGAAAAGGTGTCAAAAAAGGATAAGTAGTATTACTGGAGCTAAGGAACTCAAACCAGAAAAACTAACTAAAATTCTTCAATTTGGAACAGAGACCATTTGATCTGAAATATACTAGTGATTTAAAAGATAAAGAGTGGAATGTAAAAGACTGTTCAGTGTCTTTTTCGATATAGTAACTAAAGAACAGCAAGCAAGATGATCAGGGCTAGATTCAAAAGTATCAGAAGGAAATACTTGACCACTGTGCTGTTTCAGCTATGAAACTCCTCGCCATAGAAACCTGTGGATGCTAAAGTTCATGCAGATTCAAAAAGGGAATGAACAAATCCACAGGAGGAAAATCCATCAAAAGTGTTAAAGGGATGTGTAGATTTCTGGCTGCTGGGAGAGTATTCTGGGTAAATATCAGTATGCGCTTGCCTGTACTTAACATCTTCTCTTGCCACCTTCTACAGGCCACAATTTCTGCTTTTGTTTTGAGACATTCATTGATGCAGCCATGCTACAAATTTAGAACTGCAGATTCTGGAAGAATTGCTTATTCTTACAGTCCTCAATCTTTCCTCAAATTTTACCTCAGCTTCATACTTTTGCATATTGGTACTCAATGCCTGAATACCCTTATTGACAGCAGCTTTGTACAAGGGAATAGCAATAACTGTTGGCATCAGGTAGTTGTAGTTATAAATCTGAATAGAATGCTTGATCTGGGACATCTTTTCTACCTTCTCCTCCCCATTACATCTGCTTGCTTCCATGGGTAGTAGTTAATACTTGTCACCTTGGTGTCGTATGTTCTTCACTATTGTGGTCCTACGTGGTGAACAGCTTCTGGTTTCATGAACGTTTCTGCCTCAAAGATCCTGGAGCAATAAGACTCAGGCCATGTGAGGTAACCATTGCCTCGCTGACCATTCACCTTATGACTCCAGTGCATAACGTCTGTTTCTTTCCCTGATACGCGTCCTGCAGAGTTAGGACACTGGGTTAGATGGACCTCTGGTCTGACTTGGCATGACTTTTTTGACATTCATCACTATCTGCTTCCCTAACTCCAGTCTCCTGCTCAACTTCTTCCCCTACACTTTACTTCTCACTGCCTCCTACAGTTGCTGCTGTGCTTGCCATGCTTATTGCCAATGCCTCTGCAGGCAGGAATGGCTAAAAGTACCTGAAGAAGATTGTGAGTAGAAGTGGGAGGACACAGTGCACAAGGACAATTCCCAGCTTACTGTCTGGGCAGCAGTAGCAGTAATTGTGACTTTCTACCTCTTTCCAAGGAGTTAGAAAGGATCAGAATCCTGCTTTTTCACTATTCCACTTTGATGGCTTCTTCTGTTTAGACTACCAACTCTTCGCATCACACTCTCAGAAGTCTGCATTACTGCTAGCACAAAGGAGCCTTGACAATTGTAAGTGTTGTTACATTAAATATGAAGTCTGGTAGTCGTGGTCATTCTCAGCCTTGACCTTCTGTCCTTCTACTAATTGGATCAGGATAGGATACTTCAGATCCTGTTCTGTTCTTCATAGTATTCCAGGCTGGGGAAGTAAAATGAGTGATCTGGCAGCAGGTCTAAGGCAAAAACAAGGAAGAATTTTTCACTCAACACATTATTAAAATGGGGAATTAATTGCTACGTGATGTGAGCACTAAGTAAAAAGAGTTCAGGAAATAGAGTAATAGAAAGTAGGCCTATTATCATGGCTAAAAGTGCTCTATCATGGCTAAAAGTGCTCTGAATGCAGTTTCTAAACCACCGCTTAAGGGAAACTCAATACAGAGTTCATTCAGTACATTCCTCTTTACTACTCTTCTGCTGGACAGTATCACAGTCAGGCTGCTAAGGTACATGGATCACTGGTCAGACAAAAAACGGTTGTTCACATGTTCTTACACAAGCATTTCTGTAATTGATTGATTAACTCATTGTCAGTGGGGAAAGGAGGTGGAGGACGGATTGGCTAGTTAAATTCTTGGATGACATTATAAATGTCAGTCATTAATGTTTTATTAGACTGGGCACTCCCAGCACACAGAGAAGTTAAACTGACAGATCCGTACTGAATATAATAATATCTGCATGGTGAAGGTGAAAGTAAGGAAGCTAAGATTATTTTATCAACCAATTTGACCATGTTAGTAAGTAAACCTGTTTCCTAGTTAAAAGACCTAAAAGTTCCAAATATGGACACATCTGTACTTTTTCTTCTAATGTTAAAAACCACACTAACCTTTTTTTTTTTTTTTTCATTTGTCTAAATATTAGGAAAAATAATTAAGACCTATTAAATTATTATTATATTAGTATTTAGCATATGGGTTACAATACCTTCCTGTTGTCTCTGCCAGTACCAGGACTCACTGTAATCACAATATTACACAGACCTTTGCAAGGACAGTACTGCACTACAAAGGTTACAGCCTAGGAAGGTATGTAGTATACAGAAGATGAAAAGACAGAGAAGCAGCCAGACAAAATATTTTTGTGAACTTCATATTTTAATTACTCCCACTGGGGCAGCTGTGCTCTATTTCTCTCTGTGAATATTCAGGAGGAAATGAATAGTGATATTCAAGAATAGACTCTGAGCTGTCCTGTCAAGGTCTGGATAAACATCAGTAACATCTTAGGTAAGTATTAAGTATAGTAAGTATAAAGGTATGTGCTAAACCTGAGATATTCAGTGTAGGTTCTTCTTCCCTCAACAGGAGTTCATCAGTGAGCACAAGCAGATCCCTCCCCACAGAATTCATAACTACATGTGAATCCCACATGTCACTGGAGTGCCTACACCATATCTTAAATGAGAGTGAAAACTTCAAAACAGGGACATACTGAAGATTTGTGTCATCATCAGAAGACAGTTCTCCATTAGAAACCAGAAGAAAGAACACAAAGGAAATTGGCATCTTGCCTTTTAGATGGAGGACATTCAAAAATAAACTTCAGACAATGGCTCTAACACATCCCTAGTGATTTTTACCAGCCAAGTAACAATTTGCAGTCACAGCTCAAAACTGTGCCTGCAGCTCTGAAATGTCATTACGGAGCACTAGCTAATACTAAAGCAAAGATGACAACTGCATTTGCCTCTGCAGGACTGAATTCTGCAACAATGGAAGCAGACACTGTGGTCCAGATTCCAGGATCTTACGGACTCCTTTCCATTACAGGGTGTAGAACAATGCAAATTAAACACAATGCTTGTAAGCAGGATGTGTTCTACCAGCTACACAGTAAAAGCTATTTTCAGCTTCAGAATTTCATTTCAACTATTGTTTCAGCTGTGAGTTTAGGTAGTATATAAGGTAATGGAGGTTGGTCTACAAGTTACAGAAACCAAACTGTAATTTAAAATTTCTTCACACGAAGACAATGAAGAGGAAAGACTGATCTCCAGACACTTGCAGCTTAAAAATAATATAGCTGGACACCAAAAGTTGTAATACCAGTTTCTTCTGAAGAATGCAAACCAATGTATCCAGATTCTGACACACTGATATTAGCCTCCTTAAATCTCTGATTTTTCAGATTTTCTGTTACAAAGTTTTTGAAGTGATTTTTTTCCTATCTTAAAGTTGATTGTACTGTTGTAATACAACCTAAAGTACTTAAGATAAATCCTACATGGGATATAAAACAACAAATATCTTTACACCCTACCAATAACTCTCTATCTTAATTTAGAGATACTAGCTATGATTTTTCATTCTGTGACAAATGTTTTATTTCATTGTCCTATTCAGCCTACACACTTGATTGTGAGACAGTCAACAGCATCTCAAATTTGTTAGTAGCTCTATTGATGAAACTTGGGGACTTTGAGTAGCTCAGCCATGGTCATTGGCCATGACAACAGCTCTAGTTCCCTCGTTTGTGCCAAAAATAGGAACAGAGAAAACATGCCTTTAGCTAGAGCTAGTTAGAAGCTGTAACAGTTCCATAAATTTTTGGTGGACTTCTCATAAAGAAAGAAAATGCAATTAGGAAAAAAAGTACACGTACTAAAAGAGAAATGTACCTAATCTGCATATTTTAACCAATAAAAAATTATGATCCTGGAAAGGAATGCTTGTTTCTTAACTTGTAATGTTTTCATATTCAGCATTGTCTACAAAATCTTCAGAAGGTGACCTGATTTCTATAGCAAACCATACAATTATTTTAATAGCAAAGCTGATAGAGTGCTCAAACTTCCAAAGGTGGGTTGGGAATAGAAAATATAACTGCTCACCAAAAATTACAGGGTTTTAATATTTTTTCTCAACTACAAGTTGTTGAACAGCTTTCCTGAATTCCAGTTAAAAATCTCCAACTCATGACAGCTCTGTCAAGTTCTCTCTTTTCCTGGCAAAAAAAAGCTAAGTCATTGAAGATCTAAACAAAAAAAAAGTATCCTTTTTCCAGTTTTTGTTAACTACATATTAGGCAAAGTACACATTACAAACTAAACCATGTTTGATATTATACATCAGCACTGAAGTTAGAATGGATTTTGAATTCACGTTGAAGAAATTGGTCAAGATTAAAGAAATATTGGAAGTCTTTTTTTCTGTACCTATAGCTACAAAGTAAAGCTTTTCATGTTTTCTATAAACATGAAGTGGCATCATTCTTGTGAACTGTAAATGACAGTTTAGCTTTTTGAAAGAAGTAAAAGTGTCAGCTGCTGCCACAACAGTAACAACTGTTTGTATTTGCAAGGGCCAACTGTAGACTTCATAGAATCACAGTCACAGAATGGTTTTGGTTGGAAGGGACCTTAAAGACCATCTAGTTCCAAACCCCTGCCATGGGCAGGGACACCTTCCACTAGCCCAGGTTGCTCAAAGCCCCATCCAACCTGGCCTTGAACACCTCCAGGGAGGGGGCAGCCACTGCTTCTCTGGGCAACCTGTTCCAGTGCCTCACCGCCCTCACAGTAAAGAACTTCTTCTTTACAGCTAATTTAAGTCTATCCACCTTCAGTTTAAAGATCACTCATCCTATCACTACACTTTCCTGTAGCCCCCTTTAAGTACTGGAAGGCTGCTATAAGGTCTCCCCAGAGCCTTCTCTTCTCTAGGCTGAGCAATCTCAACACTTCAACACACCCCATGCATATAGAATGGATAATCACATTGGGTTCTGACACTGGTCCTACAATCAACAAATGGTTAATGGGGTGGGTGATTAGCAACCCCATGGCAGAAGTAGCCCTTGAGCTCTTGTTGAGTAGTGTTCAGGACCGGGTTTAAAATCTTTCAAAGAATTGTAGTATAAGCCTTAACATGCTAACATTCAGTATCCACAAAACAAAACAAAACAAAAAGTTTAGTAAACCTACACAGTTGCATTCACCTTCAAAAATGAGAAATAGATCAAACCAAGAATGTTTATTTTAAAAACAGCTAAGAGGAACATCTAAGAGAGTTAAATCCTTTCAAGCAGAATAGTGTCTATCTAAAGGTGCTCACATGGTGAGTGCATACTACCTATTAGGAAGTCTTATGAAGAAGCAAAACTATACCAGCATGGCTAAGTAGGAAGATGACATACATAATTAGTAAATTCAGAAAACAATAATGTTATCCAAAATAAAACAAACAAAATGTCAGTAATTTATATGAGTTAACTTTAAAAATAGTATGCAAAACCATCATGCTGCAGACATAAACTTTGGAAACAACTTTCAAAAAACTAAAAACACGGAGTAAAATAGCTACACACTGTGTAGCTACAACATGTGTATGGCTACACATGTTGTGTAGCCT